GCAAAGCTCCTCAAGCACCTATTCACAGTACTGGCACTTTCTATACTAGATGAGATTTGCAGCTTTCTCACTCCAGCAACTGAAGTGTGACAAAATCAGGCATGTGTGGTACTTCAGAAGGTGACTCCTATTGAGCACAGCTATATAATTACACATTTGGTTCAGTGTATTATTGATGAAGCTGCTGTAGTGACATGATCCTTGTAGAGAGAAAGAACATTAATGACACTGTGCACTGCTCGTTCATTCTCCAGCACAGTACTTCTCTGCCCTTGTATTATTAGCAACAGCCAGACCTAGTGCCTGGATTGCTTCCTAACAAAACCAGCATTTTGGAAACAGAAATTGGGCTCTGTACAAAACAAATAGGCATCATTTTGAGTCTGAAAGCTAAAACCATTCTGTCAGAAAGTGTGGAGATTTTGTGCATATTTTTTTTTTCGAGAACACATTATAGCTTTTTCATTGGTCAAAAACCTGGTTAAGAGTCACAAGAAATCGTTAGTGCATCTTAAAAACTGTGTCTCAGTTAGGATATAATAATGCTGTACAGGTATCCCTGATTAGGACCAAAGACAAGGCCAGAAGTTTTAGCTTAAACTACATGTTAAAAAAAATTAACTTCATATACTCTACTAACACAACAGCTTGCAATATATGGGCATATTCTTAGTTGCTGCTTCCTAATAATAGAATTAATAATATTAAATACCCAATCTTTCRTGGTATTATTTGTTTTGTGGCACTCAGCCTACCACTACTTGTGGGGTAAATGTTCTGCTCACTTTGTAAACTTATCTCGGGAAAAAGGGCTATCTAGAAACAGCTGGCTGCAGATGCAAGGGGTGGTCCGGTTGGCACGGTCTGACAGCCATCGGATTGAACGGGACAGTGGACTTCATCCATCACACCTCCTGGAAAGCAAACAGCCGAGCGCTCGGGAAGGACACCGATGTTTGCTCAAAGGCAACCCCTCAAAGATTGCTCAGCAGAGTTTTTGCAAAACAAATTTTACAGTGCAGGCAAAACCGCAAGGGGGAATGTATGAGACAAGCAGAGATGATTTGCTGAGGGGCGACAGGTACGCGGAGGATTGTGAACAGAGAGTTGGGTAACTCTGAACTCGCACAGCCCCCACCCCCCTTTCCTCCCCGGAACACGACAAGGGGCGCCTGGAAAGTTGCTCTGGTCGGTTTTCCCCCCCTCGGTCTGACGTCCCGAGAATAACTCCGACAAGGTACGGCCGAATCCCGCTGGTTCCCGGGACCTCCTTCGCCAGAGTCCTTAAGGGAATCGGGACGCGAAGACGCCCCGTCGCCACACTCCCCCCGCCCTGTCCCGCCGTTACCTTCTCAGCCTGGGCAAGGTAGAGCCAGAGGCGGCGCCAGGTGCCGAACTTCTTCCTCTCGCTGAAGTTGTAGGCCATCTCAGCGCTGGCGTAGCGCGACACCAGCGGGGAGCGGTAGCGCGCCATCACGTCCTCCTCCTGTCCGGGGGCCGCCATGGCAGCAGCGGTAGCGGTAGCGGGCAGCGCTCGGGGCCGCGGGCAGCGCTCGGGGCCGCGGGCGGCGCGGGATAAACGCAGGCAGAGGCCCCGCCCCCGAGCGCTCAGCGGGCCCCGCCCCCGAGCCCAGGGCGGGCACGGCGCCCCCGCGCGCCCGGAGGCCAACGCGGCCGGAGGGGCCCCGACACGGCCGCGGGACACAAAACGAGCAGAAAACAC